GGATCGTAGCCACAGTAATTCTGACACACCATGTGCCATTGCCCTGTATTCTGCTTCAGCTGAGGATCTAGCAATTACAGACTGTTTCTTACTCCCCCATGACACAATGTTCCCGGCGACTAGAGCACAATAACCTGAGGTGGATCTCCTATCATCAATACATCCTGCCCAATCAGTATCAGTAAAGGCTTCCAACTTCATGTGTCCATGTTTCGCAAATAGAATACCTTTCCCTGGAGTACCTTTCAAGTAACACAGAACCCTTTCTGCAGCAGCTAAACGAATCTCTAGGAGAATGCATAAATTGACTAATAACACTTACTGCATAGGAAATAGTAGAAATCACTATTTGCTGATTCAGTCAAGCTTCTTGTGAGAGAAAGAGGGGGAAGGTGAAGATTTCAGCAGTAGAGAAGGAAGGAGAAGAAGAAAAGAGTAGGAGGTCAACTAGAGATATGAGAAAAGTTAACCCTAGCCACCAGCCCCTCATTAGATTTATATTTAACTTAAAGATATTACAAGGATACCCTTAGTAGGGCGGCGACTAAAACTGAATAGTCACAACTTTAAAAAATAAAAAACTAATGGGCCAAAGGCCCAACAACTTCCTAATTAAATAAAAACAAGCTAAAGACAAACCAGGCCACTCAACAAAACAAACTGGCCCACTCAACAGAAATATCTGACCGAGTCATGCAAAGATATAACAACTTCCCAAGCAGTCTCTGAAACACCCCCTTATCAGATAAAAGCTCACCATCTGTAGCAAAAAGCTTATGATTGACATCAATAGGAGTGGAGATTGGTTTAGCTCCAAGTTTACCAGTCTCAGCAAGGAGGTCAAAGACATACTTACGCTGAGAAATGAAGACACCATCCTTAGATCTAGCAACTTCAATGCCCAAAAAATACCGAAGATCTCCCAAATCCTTGATCTCAAATTCAGARTTRAGAAAYMTYTTKAGTTTAYTGAYCTCTTGAGTGTCATTACCCGTGACCACAATATCATCAACATAAATTATCAAGGTCACCAGAGAGCCATTTCTCTTCAAGAACAGGGTATGATCAGATTGAGT